TCCAGCCTCTATATTTAAACCTTCTTTAATTTTCAATTTTATTGAGAAGTTCTTATACCTAGTTAAACAAATTAAAACCTAACTTCTCTCTTTTTTTTATTGAGTCACCATGAAATACAGTTACAAAATTGTTCCTGACTAGATTTCAGCCATAAAATTCTCCAACACCTGTCCCTGCACCACTGTACATTTCCCACCACCATGTCCACAGTTCCCACCACCCAAATCACCAGCCTGTCTCTTCAGCAGGCACTTTTCTCTCTCTGTCTTTCCTTTTGGGCATTATGGTTTGCAATGCAGGTACTGAAAGGTTATCATGTATATGCCTTTACCTTTCAGCACTCAGTTCTTGTTCAGAGTGATCTTTTTCATTTATCATTGTCATGGTGGTCCCTTCTCTGTCCTAAATGCCCTTCCCCACCCCCACTTGTGGCAAGCTTAAAACCATGGACCATCCTTCTGGCTCTCGTTCCTAATGTCTCATAGTATGGTGTCCCACAAACGAGTGCAATCAGTCTCTGACTGTCCCTTCTCTGATTCATTTCACTCAGCATGATGCTCTCCTTTTTCATCCACTTATAACTTTATTTCATGATTTCACTTTTCCTGACAGCTGTGTAGTATTTCATTGTGTAGATGTAGCATAGTTCCTTTAGCCAGTCCTCTGTTCCCAGGCACTTGGTTTGTTTCCTGATTCTGGTTATTGTGAATAGTGTTGCAATGAACATGAGTGCAGATGGATTTTCTGCATTGTTTTTTGACCCCTTTGGCATATTCCCAGAAGTGATATTGCTAGGTCACATGGAAGCTCAATTTCTAGTTTTTTTGATGAATGTTCATAGTGTTTTCCAAAAAGGCTGCTCAGTCGGCATGCCCACCAACAATGAAGGGGAGAGTCCCTTTCTCCCTGCATCCACGCCAGAAGTTCATTTTGGTGTACATCAGTCTCTATTGCATGAGATTGTTTCTCATTGTTGTTCTAATTTGTATCTCCCTGATGATTAGTGATACACAGCATTTTTTCATGTACCTTTCAAATACCAGTGGTATTTCTACCACTGCCTTATATATCTTTCATATTAACCACTTATCAGGTGGGTATTGGGTAAATAATTTTTCCCATTTCAGAAGCTGTCTTTGTGTCCTAGTCTCTGTTTCTTTTGAGGTGCAGAAGCTTTATAGTTTAACGTAGTCCCATTTGTTAATATTTGCTTCCACTTGCTTGGTCAGTGGTGTTTCATCTTTGAAGATGCCTTCAGCTTCGAAGTCAGAGGGGATTCTGTCTATGTTTTCTTCCATGTACCTTATGGATTCAGGTGTTGAGGTCTTTAATTCATTTTGATCTGACTTTTGAGCATGGTGAAAAATCTAACCTATCTTTCACAGAATATTCATATAATATCTCAATATTTTTCTTCAGGTTATCTTCCTATCCTTTCTACTTCGAAAGATTTTATCTAGACCTCTTTTACTATACTTATTTCAAAATTATGTAGTTTTTAATCGGTAAGGTCACCTTCTCCCCCCAAGTTTAATAACAAGGAAAAGTTCTATATATAATTCAAGATTTTCAAAGATTTTCCTTAGAATTGACAAACCGAATAAGTAGAAAACATAACAGCCTCATGGGTCAAAAATATTTGGGAAGTGAACTTCTCAGGTTCTTTTATGTACTAAATTTTGCAAATCTCTAATGAAATAAGGCATGCCCATTTCTAAAACTTAACTGGTCTCGGAATCATTTTTTTATTGTATCCTTCAATTAGGATTAATATTTCTCTGGCATACAGCATCTGTATTAATCATAGAACCTTATTTTGAATAACAAATTACAAATAATAGTTGAATACATAAAAATTTAACTTCTTTAATAGTATAGTAAAAGAAGAATTGCCACAACAGAAAAATAATTTATTACTTCATAATTTTTTATATGTAGAGGCATTATGTGGAATCAAAGGTACATAGAAATTCCTGCTCAGAATATCCATCCTGAGGTGATGATAGAAATACTACCAGAAGATCCTTTTAAAACATCTGTCAACAACAGTTTGAAACTAAGAACGTATTCTGGTCAACTTCCATGCTAAACACAATTAAAACAACTGAATCATTTATTACTAAGGAAATTTATCGTAAGTTGCTTTGGTTGATTAAAGGTGTTTATATTTGAAAGGGGAAGTCTCAGAACCAACAAATTTTTCTGGTATGCAGTTTATACTTACAAGATTTCATAAGATCAATGTTTAGTAACTTTGCATTAATTTAACTTATTTTTTCTGAGTGAACAATGAAAGGTAAACAGTGCCTTAAAACCAAATAAAAGTGAAATATCCACAACTGTTTCTTGATGTTTCCCAGTTCTTCAGTTGTAACCAAGAAAGGAAATAAGAGGAAAAGAAACTTCCTGACGTGTCATATAACCTAGATCTTATGGAAGCAGAAACAGGAAATGGGAGCAACAGAATAAAGATTGGTTTGTTTTCTACTCGGCTCTAAACATATCAACTCTTCACTTGAAAATTTATTCAAGAATAAGGTAGGGATGAAAAGATGAACCTGTTTCTTAAACATTACTTTGAATTCATATGAAGTAGAACCAGAGAGATAGTAAGCAGGTAAGGCATTTTTGCCCTGCACCAGACTGACTCCAGGTTCAATAGTCAATAACACAAGGAGAGATCCCTGAGCACAGAGTCAGGAGTCACAATCACAATCACAACCATCCTGTTATTTGTCCATTGCCTCGAGCAGGCCTCAGTAACGCCTCTTCGTCGTAGCCCTGAGATTTTTGTTTTAAAAAGTGCCATATTCAAGGCTCTTTCAGAGTTAAGAGAATGAGACCCTTCATTGTTACTGGGATTTGGCATATTGGGTACGCCACGGGGAGTTTGCCAGACTCTGCCATGTGGGCAGGTTATATTCGGTAGCCTGCCAGTTTGTCTGAGTCAGGAGTAAGGCTGAACAAAGTCAGGGTAAGCCCTGAGCACAGCCAGTATGGCTTAAAAACAATAAATAAATAAATAAATAAATAAAATTCTGATGAAATGGTAAACTCACCAGAGTTTGGAAAGATATGTAAAGAGAAAGTTCCAAGATCAGTAATGCGTATGCTTGAGGTTGCCTTATGAGTCCCTATGCCACAGGGCTTTTCTCTGGTAAGTGAAAAATTACCTGCTACCTGCTAAATAGAATCTGAGAGTTGGTTACATTTAAGTCCTAATTCTCTTTATCTGCTTTATTAACTGATAAGACCACTGAAAGCAAAACATGTATTTCTCTTCTTCCCTCCCCTGCAGATGGAGGTAGTAGGTCAGATCAAAGTCAAATCTATTTTTAAACTACTTTTGTGGACTAATGTGATCAAACATTTAAAGAAAAAGAGACACAATGAGCTTCAAGACACAACTGAGAATGTCCAGCTGTAATTGTATGGCAAATAATAATTTCCTATTAATAAATGGCGAGTCCTTGAATTCATTCAGGTTCAAAAACCTGTTCAAAAGGTGAAACAAAACTTTTGACCTTAAAAAGATGTTAAAAAAAAAAAAAAGTTGATTCCCCAGTAGCTCAGGGCCAGAGCAATAGTACAGCAGGGAGGGCATTTGCCTTGTATGCAGCTGACCCGGGTTCAATCCCCAGCATCCCATATGATACCACAAGCACCACCAGGAGTAATTCCTGAGTGCAAAGCCAGGAATAACCCCTGAGCATCTGCGAGGTGTGACCCAAAAAGCAAAAAATTAATTTTTAAATTTTTTTTAAAAATAAAAAATGAAGAACTACATATTGAACTAGTCTCTTGCCCATAGTCAGAAGCAATCGGCTGGCAACAAAATGTCTCCCGAGTTACTTACTGAACAGAAGACAAGATTTTGAAACCTGGGATGTCAATGCAACATATCGCACAGCAAGCAGATCTGTGGAAACTCAATCAAGCGTATGTTGCCATTAACAATCCTTAATTCACAACTTTTATATGAGATGCTTTTTCCCCCCCAAAAGCAACACTCAGCAAGCGGCCAGGATCCCCAGATACAGCAACAGTACCGTAAACCACGAAAGCAGCTGCAATTGGAACTGAAGAGGGATCCAATTTCTACTTGTGGAGAACTCATGGTTAACTCCAGCTGACTAGCAATGAGTTTCCTCATCCCACCCCAGGATGCGAGTTTTCATTTCACAGGAGATTTTCTCTCCAAACGTTCGTTGTTGGATGCTCTAATTAGACAATCCCTTCCCACCTCCCAGCCCCTCTGCCCCCCACCCCGCCCCCATTCTCTCCATTAGCCTCTAGCACCGGCATGCATTTAACTCGGCGTTAACTTTCAGAGCCGGAAAACGTTCCAAGACAACCCGGGAAACGCCCGGGGCATTTCAGCAGGCGATCGGGCCGGCCCTCGCCGCCCTCCAAGACCCAAGAGCCGGTGTTCTCCGCCAGAAGTCAGTCAGGGAGCCGCCTCCCGCGGCCCTGCCCGCAACCCCCTCTCCCCCCTCCCTGTCGGAAGGACCCGGTAGGCCTTGATGGTCCTAAAACATCCACCACCGAGGGCAGCTCATAACGATTGTCCCGCCACCCCTCCACCCCCTAGCCTGATAGAAAATTCCCCAGGTGTTGCAAGTGGGAGGCAACCCCCAGGCCGGACTGGCCCGACGCGGGGTTCCGCGCTCGCGCTTCGGCGCCCCGTGTCAGCTCCGCCGGGTCTCCCAGCAGCCGAGAGCCCCAACCTCCGAGTCTCCCCGCCCAGCCCCGCGGAGAGGTTCCCCCTACCCCACCTTTCTCCTCTCAGACTCGGGGCTCCGGGCCCTGACGGCCTCCCACCCTGCTCCCGCGACCCTCCTCCTCCCCCGGCTCCGCTCCGCCCCGGAGCCGGACACCGGAGCCGCCCCCCACCCGGTGGCAGGGCGCACCCCGCAGCTGTGCCCGCCTCCCTCGCGGCCCGCCCCGGTGCACCCCGCGCCGGGCCTGCCACTTCCCCGGGCGAGCCGCCGGGACCTACCTCGAACAGCTCGGCCGTCGTAGCCATCCCGGCCGGCTGAGAGGCTCGCCGCGCGCTGCCTGCCGTCTCCTCTTTACATGCTGCGCCTCAGCGGCGCCGCACCCAGGTCCCCCGCTCGCCACGCCAGCTCGGGCTCCGGGCCGCCGCGGGCTCTCCCACTGCCACCCGAGCCCAGGCGGGGCGGCAGAGCGGCCATGAAGCGAAGTCGTAGACGCCTGTCAGCTGCCTCCCGGCGCCGCCCGCGCCGCTCCCATTGTCACCGCCTCGCACGCCGGAAGTGAAGCTGCGCGCGCCCGGGAGGCTGTCGGGAGGGGAGGGCGAGGGAAGCGCGCCGCTGGCGAACCGCAGCCAAGTTCGCCGCTCCGCTGAGCGAGGAAGCGTGAGCCTTGCGGGCCACCATCCCGGAAGTAATCTGGCGAGGAAGAAAGTCTCTGGGTTGCTGGGATGCTAGGTGCGGCTTCCCCGAATCTGGCGCGGGGGAGGGGGTGGGTGCAGAGGTGGGGGTGGGGTGGCAAGCGTTGGCTTGAAGATATAATTTAGTCACTCCTCCTGCCGGCGCTGTACGTCTGCCGCAGCCGACGTGTTGGTGAGGAGCCGAAGGTGACTCAGATTAAGTGCGCCGAGGGACTTTGCGAAGAGTCCATCTGAGGAAGCGGGACCGCGCTCTTCCTTCCAGGCTACCTAAGGGATGAACTGATGCTTTAGTGGTTTATCATGGCCCAGCGGGCAGTGTGGCTCATAAGCCACGATCCAGGAACGCCACTCGGTGGCACCGTCCGATTCTCCAGGTAATTATCTGCATCCAAGTGAATGCTGGAAAGGAAGATGGATGGTTTGTGTGGCAGTGCATCCCCCAGGTCCGCCACAGTGGGCAAATTACTTAGCCTGTGTTTCATTCCCTTTATCTCATCAGAGTGAAGGAGAATTTTTCTGTAATTCTGCCTCACGGTGTTGTGAGGATTGAGAGCTCCCTGGATATTGTATTTCCTTATATTGAGTTTCCTTAAACTTGATTTCACCTGCTTCATTTGGAGCTGATGAAAAGAAAGGGAAAAAATTGTGGAGCTCACATGCAAGGGCACTAGAAATTTTAGGTTCTAACCCCAACACACACACACACCACGTCGAATTGTTTAAGATTTCTCTTTGTAGAGGGAAATTGAAAGCTATTTTGAGAAGTATTAACTTTTTTCTTATATAGTATGCATTGATCTATTTCTTTGCCACTTTCTGTCCAAATAGTTTAGTGGAGAGTTTAGCAAATAGTTTAGAAAAATAACGCATCGTACACTGGGGGTGTGATTCAGGGATAGAGCACTTGAAAGTTTACCTGTGACGTCCTGAATTCAGTTCCTGTGATCGCTTAAAAAAACATGTGGCAATTGAGTAATCTAATTTCTCAATTTTTTTCTAGGGTCTATTGAGTATTATTTTTTACCACGATTTTATTCCCAGGGTAAAGCTCTACAGTGAGGTAGCAAGTAACTCTTTAAGTTGTGATTGAGATAAAAATGAGTGTAATTCTAAATGAAAGTGGCTGGTAGTGGAAAAATTTTTCTGTGCAAACAGATTGTGCTAGTGAAAGCATCATAATTGGATTTAAATATTCTTGGGGTTACATTTCACATTTGTTATTGGTGTATCCCAAGTAAGAACAAAAATAGCATCAACTTAATTGTCCCATACCAGCTACTCAATTTTATGTTTTTTAGGAATCTGTTTTTTACTCTTCCACTCTGCCTCTCAGGGTAACTCTTATGTATTTGATGCTATCCTTTTATTTGTTTGTATGTACACTTTTGAAATTACAGAATCAAGAATAAAGTGAACATCATTCTCATTAAATTTGTTAACTTTTTGAGTACATTTCAAAGAAGCATATATTTTACTTTGTTTCTCTAGAGCAGCACTTTCCATTGGAATTTTCTGCAGTTTTGGAAATGGGCAGTGTTCTAAATCTATGCTAATATTGTAACCACTAGCCACGTGTGTAAAGAAATTTTTGAAATGTGGCTATTGTAGCTATAGAACTGTTTCTTAAATTAACATAGCTAATTTAGATAGCTACATCTGTATAGTGGCTATTGGAGCATATTTAGACTATCACTTCTTGATTGCCATGGTTTTTTTTGTCCTAGCATTTTACCCTACTCCTTCCCTATGTTATCGGCTCCCAGGTTGCCTCCTATTCAGCCATCAGGACAGTCCTCAAACAGCTCCAGAGGACAAATAATTAGCTTCTCAGAATGCTTTCGCCAGTGTACACACTCACCTTCAGTGAAGGGAGCATTCCTATATCTTCATTTTTTACTGAGACTTGTTCCAGTTTTTGCCAGAATTGGTGTAAAGGCTATTTTGATTTCATTAGCATTTCTCAATAGACCAGTGATTGTAAACCTTTTGGCATGACTTCTCAGATCCTTTACATGGTCATTTGTTAATTTATTCTTTGGCAGTTGTTTTCTCCCCCCGCCTTCTTGCTGATTTGCAGAATTTATTGTATATTCTTACAATATATCTTGCAGAGTTAATTTTATATTCTATGTCATTTTAGCTGTTAAGATTTTCTAATCATTATTGTCAATTTGCTTTATGCTCCCCTTGCTTGAATAAAAATTACTAATTTTATTGCAGAGTGTTATCATTTGGGAACATTTGTTTAAATCTTCTTCTACTCGTATTTTTCAATGATAGCTTCCCAAGTTATCTTCTCTTAATCATCTTATTTATTGTATTTAGATATTTAATTCATCTTTACATCTTTGCATGTAATATTAAATAAATCATGGACCACTTTCACTGTGCTATTAAAAATCATAGACCAGTTTTCAAATATTACCTTATAAGTAAGGTAAGGTAAAGATAAGGTAAAGGCCCTCCCGTTGATCGTCGATTTGCTCGAGTGGGCCCAGTAACGTCTCCATTGGAGACTTTGTTGTTACTGTGTTTGGCATATCGAATACTCTCGGTAGCTTGCCGGGCTTTCCGAGAGGGGCGGAGGAATCGAACTCGGGTCGGCCATGTTGGCCTCTTGTAAGGCGAATGCCTTACCCGCTGTGCTATCGCTCCAGCTCTCGGAGAGCCTGGCAAGCTACCGAGAGTATTCGATATGCCAGACACAGTAACAACAAAGTCTCCAATGGAGACGTTACTGGGCCCGCTCGAGCAAATCGATGATCAACGGGAGGGCCTTTACTTTACTTACTTTACTTACCTTATAAGTAGTGGGGCTGGAAGATAGCACTTATAAGTAGAATATATTTTCTTCATTGATGATTTGTGAGACTGTTGATGTTTACTTTGTCTTGGATATAATCATTGGTACTGTTACTTTATTCTAGTACCAATACCATACTGTCATATGTCTGTGACCTTGTTGGTAAAAGAGACTTAGGAAAATTAGTTTATTTACACAGAAGTTAATAGCTAGAGGCCAGAGAGATAGTGCATCAGGTAGGACACTTACCTTACATGTGACAGACCCAAGTTCCATCCCCAGTACTCGGTGTGGTCCAAAAACAAACAAAAAAGTTAATGGATAACTATCCTGGCCTTTTTATTAGAGAAGGAATACAGAAAAAAACTTCTTAAAAAAATTTGAGGTACTGTGATTTACAGTACTATTAAGGATAGAGTTCCAACACCACACCCCCTCCATAGTGTCATTTCCTCTCCCAACCTCCACCCCAAAATCTACCCCCATTTTGTCCTTCCACCAAGGTAAGTTCAAATCTGATAACCAGTTCTCAGGTTCTGTTGCCTTTGGTTGTTGTTCCCTTACTAAGAACATACCTTTCTTTTTAACTAAGAAGTGATCTAACATTTAAGGAGTGAAATTATCTTCTATTGTACTTCACAAAAAACCAACTAGTGGGGCTGGAAGATAGCACAGCAGGTAGGGCGTTTGCCTTACATGTGGCTGACCCGGGTTCGATTTCCAGTATCCCATATGGTCGGTCCTGAGCACCGCCAGAAGTGATTCCTGAGTGCAGAGCCAGGAGTAACCCCAGTGCATCGCCGGGTGTGATCCAAAAAGAAAAAAAAACGAACTAATTGGTAGCTTACCATTTGGCCTAGAGTATGCAAACCTGAAGTAATCTTTGACACGTTTTTGTAGGAATTCAGGGTAATTTACTATTTCTTGAGTAAAATACAACATATCTCTTAAATTTGTATCATCTCAACTAAGGAATTCAAAATTGTGGATTAAACAAACCATTTTTTATGATCCTCCTCTACTAAGGTGTAATCAGAGAAAAAAATATCCTTATTGAAGCCTGGTATGTATTTCTTGCTTACCAAAATTAGGATTTTGGATTAGAAGTGTATACTCTCCCTGTTTTAAAAAATTAATGGAATTAAGTACTTTCAGAAACAACCATAAGAGTTGATATACCAAGTATAGAATAGTGACTATGTTAGGTCTTAATATGTAAAATACTTTTGTGTGTCTTTTGTAAATCTCTATATTTATTTTGTATTTATTATTGTTATTATTTTGCATAGGGTCTTGCTTTTTGGTTTTCTATTCTTCATTTTTGTTTTACTTAATGAAACACTAGTGACTTTTTTTTTCCATAATATAGACGGTATCCAACAGTTGAAAAACGAGCCAGAGTCTTCAATGGAGCAAATTACGTGCCTATTCCCGAAGATGGTCCCTTTCTTAAGGCATTACTCTTCGAACTTCGATTACTGGATGATGATAAGGACTTTGTGGAAAGTCGAGATAGTTGTTGTCGCATCAATAAAACATCCATCTATGGACTGCCAGTAGGAGGTGAAGAACTCTGGCCAGTGGTTGGTTTTGTGAAGAATGGCATGGTATATGCTTGTGTTCCATTAGTTGAACAGACATTATTCCCTCGCCCACCGTTAATTAGCATCAGTGGAATTTCCCAAGGCTTTGAATTGCTTTTTGGGATACAGGATTTTCTGTACTCGGGTCAGAAAAATGACATAGAACTCAATACAAAATTGAGCCAATTGGCTGACTTGGTTCTACAGGCTTGCCCATTTGGCACTTTGTTAGATGCCAACTTACAGAATTCATTAGCTAGTATTAGTTTTGCTTCTGTGACCCAACCACAAAAACAGCCAGCCTGGAAACCTGGAACATACAAAGGAAAACCACAGGTTTCTATTTCTATCACGGAAAAGGTAACATCTATGCAGTATGATAAACAGGATATAGCAGATACATGGCAAGTTGTTGGAGCTGTCACCTGCAAGGTAAATTTTTCTCTGGTATTTTGTCATAATATGTAACCTCTATGGAGAATAGTAAAATTTGCTGCTGTTTTACATTATTAAATGATGTTATTATCACAGATTGTTATCACAGATATCATTAGATTTGAGACTATTGAAACCTGCTACATTTTGTAATTCTTTACTGAATCTTATATATTGCTGTGTAATGAATTTTCTATTACCCTAATAGTAGACTTTTGTTATCTTCACTTTTCTGAGTCAGGACTTCAAGTACAATTTAATTGGTACTTCTAGTATGTCTCTCATGAGGTAGCTGTCATAATTTCAGTTGGACTATAGTCATCAGGAAATTTTTTTGATGACCTGAAGCTAGATGGTCTATTTGCAAAATAACTCACTCATATGACCAGCAAGTTGGTGACATTTGATGGTGGAAATCCTGCCTTTATGGCAGGCACCTCTATATTCTCTCTCTCTCTCTCTCTCTCTCTCTCTCTCTCTCTCTCTCTCTCTCTCTCTCTCTCTTTCTCTGTCTCTCCCCCTCCCTCTCTCTCTTCCTCCCTCCCTCCCTCCTCATATTTTAGGCATTATGATTTGCAGTATAGATGCTGAAAGGTTGTCATGTACATTGCTTTACCTACTTTCAACACTAAGTTCTTGTCCAGAGCGATCATTTCCAACTATTGTTGTCGTACTGGACCCTCTATCTTAACTGCCTTCCACCCCAAACACTTGTGGTAATTTCCAAACATTGACCAGTACTCCTGGCCCCTATTTTTCATGATCTTGGATAATAGTCTCATACTATTTTCATATCCTACAAATGAATGCAGTCATTTTATATATTTCCATCTCCTTCTGAGTCATTTCACTCAGCATGTCCATTCATTTATTGGAAAATTTCGTGACTTCATTTTAACTAATTGTTGTATAGTATTCCATTGTGTAGATGTTCCATAGTTTCCGTATCCAGTCTTCTGTTCTCAGGCACTCAGGTTGTTTCCAGATTCTGGCTGTTGTGAATAGTGCTGCAATGAACATAGAAGTGCAGGTGGTGTTTCTGTTGTGTTTTTGGACCCCCAGGGTATATTCCCAGAAGTGGTATTGCTGGGTCAAATAGGAGCTCAATTTCTTGTTTTTTGAGGACTGTCCATACTGTTTTTCAGAATTGCTGGACTAGTCGGCATTCCCAGTAGTGACGAATGAGAGTCCCTTTCTTCCCACATCTGAGCTTGCAGTGGTTGCTCTTGTTCTTTTGGATTTGTGCCAGTCTCTATGGTTTTAGATGATACCTCATTGTTATTTTGATCTGACTTTTGTGCATGGCTTTAGATAGGGGTCAGAGTTAAAGGTAAAGGTAAAGGCCCTCCCGTTGATCATCTATTTGCTCGAGCGGCCCCAGTAACGTCTCCATCGGAGACTTTGTTGTTACTGTGTTTGGCATACCGAATACGTCACGGGGAGCTTGCCAGGCCCTGCCGTGTGGGCGAGATACTCTCGGTAGCTTGCCGGGCTCTCCGAGAGGGGCGGAGGAATCGAACTCGGGTCGGCCATGTTGGCTGCGTGCAAGGCAAACGCCCTACCACTGTGCTAGAGTTAGTTTTTTTTTTCCTATGGGTAGCTGTTCAGTTTTCCCAGCACCACTTTGTTAAAGAGGCTTTCCTCTACATATTTCTTGCTCCTTTATCAAAGATTAAGTGGTCATATATTTTAGGGACGCTCAATTCTATTTCATTGGTGTGTGGGTCTGTATTTGTTCCAATACCATGCTGTTTTAATTACTACCGCTTTGTAGTACAGTTTGAGATTGGGAAAAGTGATGCCTCCCATCTTCTTTTTCCCAAGGATTGCTTTAGCTATTCTCAGAGGTTACTCCCGGTTCTGCACTCAGGAATTACTCCTGGCGGTGTTTGGGGGACCATATGGGACTCCGGGGATCGAACCCAGGTTGGCCAGCGTGTGCAAGGCAAACGCCCTACCCACTGTACTATTGCTCTGGCCCCCTTTTTTAATTCTTGAAGTAGCATTTTGTAGTTTTCTTTGTACAGGTCTTTTACCTCCTTAGTTAAGCTGATTCCAAGGTATTGTTTTGAGTTTTTTGGTGGTTTTGTTTTTTTGCCTCAGTTTCTTTTTACAAGAAAATCCTCAAAGTGGCTTGCCTCATATCCTTGAAATGGGAAAGGAGGAGGGGAAAGGGAAGGGGAAGGAGAAGAGGAGGGGAGGGAAAGGGGAGGGAGAGGGTGAAAGAAAGGGAGGGGGATGAGGAGGGAGGGGAGGGGGGTAGGGGCAAGGGCAGGAACAGGAGAGGGAGAAATATGACAGTAAAAAAGGGGGAGTATGCTACAAAGAAAGAGAAATTATGCATTCTGAGCTGAGATTTGTGTGCCCTTATTCTGGTATTTTATTTTTTGGGGGAAGTAGGGTGAAGGCTGCAGGGAGTCACACCCTGCAGTGCTCAATGGTTATTCCTGGTTATGCATTTTGGAATAACTCCTGGCAGTACTCAGGGACCGAATGATAGGGATTGAACCTGGGTCTGCCACTTGCAGGACAAGGCCCTACCCGCTGTGCCCCAGTCCCCCTTGATATAGTTTAAATGAATCATTTAAGTGAATAATTATTGGTGGTTTCCATAATGTTGTGATTTTTCTGGTTTTCTTAAGAATATTATACTGCAAGATGTTAATGAGCATAAACATTTTTAAAATTTAATAGTTTTTGCTCATTTTATTGTCACCATATCTGTCAAAATAAAACAGTTTTTTAAGAAATTCTTTTATTGATTGAAGTTCTGTGATTTACTATACCATTAATGATGGTTTCCCACTTACAAAATTTCAATACCACATCCATCACCAGTGTACCCACCTTGATACCCCCAAGGGCCCCAGTGCCCCTCTTTTTCAACCTCCCTCCCCCAAGTTAAGCTGTGTGGATCAGTTGTCCCATTGTGTTGCCTTTGGCTCTTTGTTTTTGCTGTGTATCCTAATGCCTCACATATGAAAAAGGTGATTCTGTTTCTTCCTTCTTACTGGCTTCACTTACCATGATATCCTCTAGTTCTGTCCATATCACAGCAAATTGAATCATTTTTTTCTTTCTTAGAGCTGCATAGTATTCCATTGTGTGTGTATATTGAGCACAACTTCTTTTTTTTTTAATTTTATTGAATCGCCATGAGATAGTTACAAGCTTTCATGTTTGGGTTAAAATCACACTATGATCAAACACCCATCCCTCCACCAGTGCACATTCCCCACCACCAATATCCCCGGTATACTCCCCCTTTCCCATCCTCCCCCTGCCTCCATGGCAGACAATATTCCCCATACTCTCTACTTTTGGGCATTATGGTTTGCAATACAGACCATGAGAGGTTATCATGTTTGGTCCTTTATCTGCTTTCTACACACATCTCCCATCCCAGCTGGTTCCTCAAGCCACCATTTTCTTAGTGATCCCATTTCTATTCCAGCTGCCTTCTTCCCTTTGCTCGTGAGGCAGGCTTCCAGCTATGGAGTAATCTTCCTGCCCTGCGTATCTACTATCCTTAGGTGTCCAGCCTCATATTATGTTGTTTTATGCTCCACAAATGAGTGCAGTCCTTCTATATCTGTCCCTCTCTTTCTGACTCATTTCACTGAGCATGATACTCTCCATGTCTATCCATTTATAAGCAAAGTTCATGACTTCATCTCTCCTGACAGCTGCATAGTATTCCATTGTGTAGATGTACCAAAGTTTCTTTAACCAGTCATCTGTTCTAGGGTACTTGGGTTGTTTCCAGATTTTGGCTATTGTGAACAGTGCTGCAGTGAATATATAGGTACAGATGTCATTTCTACTGTGAGCATAATTTCTTGATGCATTCATTCATAGTTGGGCATTTGGGTTGTTTCCATTTCTTGACTTTTGTACAAGAGTTGTATTAACATAGGTGTTCATTTATCCTCTCAAGTTAATGTTTTGTGTTTGGGGGTACAGTTGTATAAGAGTTATGTTTGAGTTGTATGAGAGTTCTATTGCTGTTTCTTGGATAGATTTCTGTGTTTTCCATAGAGGCTAAACCAGATGATACCACCACCAACAGTAAATGAGGGTTCCTTTCTAACCACAACCCACCAACACTTCCTGTTTTCAGACTTTGATATATGTCATATTCACTGGAATGAGCTGGTACCTCAGTGTTGTTTTTATTTACACTTCCCTAATCATGAGTGACAGTGAGCACTTTTTCATATGCCTATTGGCCATCCATATGTCTTTGAGAACGTGTTGTTCAGCTCCCTGCCCCATTTGTAGATGACGTTGCTGAATTTTTTTGGTTTTGAGTTTTGTGAGTGCTTGATAGATCTTGGATATTAGCCCTTTACCTGATGTATTATTTGCAAAAATTTCCTCCCGTTTAGTAGGGTGTCCTTTTATTATAGCTTGAGTTTCATTTGCTCTGCAGAAGGTTTTTTGATATTGTTTTTGTTTTGTTGTTTTTTGCCTCTGTGGCTGTCTTGTTAGGAATCACCACAAATATACCTATATATACATATATACCTCTATATTTATACCTATAAATATACGCAGATATACCTACATATAACCATAGGTGTTTAATATACATCTGCAGGAAAAACCCAACTTTTTAAAATTCTTGTGAATTGAGACTGAAGACATACAGCCTGCAGTAGTAGATGTTCTAAGATAAAAACATAAAATATTAAAAAATTTTATGACAAGTATAAACTTATTTGGCATTTTTTGTTTTCATCTTAAATAGGCATTATTGCAACTGTCACTAAAAGACCTTCGTTTGCCTGCTCTCTGTTTATAGTAATAGCAGATAGATTCACGTGTTAGCCAACCAATAGATAAAAATATTTCACATTAGGGTTGAAAATATAAGTAGGGTCCATAATATAAAGGATACCATTAAAGAAACATTCTTTTTTAAAGTGTCTTCTGATATAGCACACTATTGGACACTAGAGATATGAAGAAAATAAAGTCCTGCTTTCAAAGATCTTAAAGCCTCAAGATGGAAATAAACAGGAACACAGACTAACCTTTAATAGGTTGGCAGTGGTTGTATAAAGCAGGCTGTATATGGCAGTGAAAATAGCTGTTAGTTTTTGAAGCTCAGCACGACACTTTCAGTCCTGCTACTCTTAAAAAATTTTGTAGGTCTGAGCAAAAGAAAAATTTTTTTCTTTTTTCTGGCCACACCTGGCAGTGTAGAGGATAGAGTTGGGAAATGTGGGGAGGGAATATGGCATTAGGGATCCAAACCTTGGACTTCAGACATAGAAGGCATATGCTCTTACCTCTTCAGGCACATCTCCAACCCAAATAATAAGTCTTATATGATTCAATTAACTAGTCTTTTATCTTGGGTTTGTTTTGTTTTGTATTGTTTTTTGTTTGTTTGTTGGGGAGAGGGGTGGGGGAGGAGTGCTGGGCATTTAGCCCAGGGTATCTGTCACACATGCAAAGCAAGAGCTCCACTGCCAAGCAATATCCTCAGCTCTAAACTGGCTATTAATTGGGTATTATAACAGAGGTAAATGTCAAATTAGAGTTTGGGCACAAAGGAAGAACCTGAGTTACCCCTCCTACCGCTTCTCACCCACGCAACAGCTAAGGTGTACATTCTGTTTCATTAAAAGAGCTACATGATTTATGGGAATAAGGGTATTTAATATAGGAATTAGGGCTTACTATCTATAAGAAGAGCTGAAAGTATAAAAACCTCTGCTTCTCTGACTGCAGCTTTCCAGAAGCAATTACTGATAACTTTATTGTGGGGCTTAGAAATAGTCTCTGAGAAGCCAGCATGTCTTTAACAATCTGAAAACAGGAATCATGGAAGGTGCTGCATCTGGCCACCTCAGTCTTTGAATGGGAGTTCAGAGAGAAGTCTGTGAAACTGTCATATCTGGCTTCTGTAACTTTCCAAAAATTCTGGTTTCCCTTTTCCCTTTACCTTTCAAATCTCCTTAGAAGTACTTTTGCCGTTAGCAAAGTAACCAGACTGAACAGGGAAGAAGATCGAGGAGAAGGTACAATAAAACTTCAAAAGAAAATATTAAAAGATCTACATTTATAAGGGGAAAAGACTGGGTGGAAGATCACATAAAAAAGCATAAAGGTATAATTAAAATTATGATTTATTTAGAAATGGGAAATTAAGATGAATTATATCTATGACATAAATTGCAGGTTAGAAAATGATTAAAGAGCAAGTTGGAAGCCAATGAAAGTCTTTAAAAAAGTAATACAAAACACAGATGAAACTATTGAAAAATTTTGAGCATAGGTATAATCAAATTAGAATTAGAGAAAAACAAATCTAGATACGTGTAGAAGGCTGACAGATTTGAAGTTTCTCTGCCACTGTGTTTGTGACCAGAACAGAGAAGAGTCAGTGAATTAAAATAACCTTTTCAAGGATTTTAAACTTTTCAAGGATTTTAAACTTTTCAGGGATTTTAAACTTAAGCCCTGGAGTGATAGCACAGCAGTAGGGCATTTGCCTTGCACGCAGCGGGCCCGGCCGAACTGGGTTCGATTCTTCCACTGTTCTCAGAGAGCCTGGCAAACTACCGAGAGTATTTCGCCTGCACGGCAAAGCCTGGCAAGCTACCCGTGAGGTATTCGATATGCCAAACACAGTAACAACAAGTCTCACGATAGAGACGTTCTGGGCCTGCTCGAGCAAGTCGATGGATAACGGGACCGTTAATTTAAACTTAAGTGGAGGGCTGTAGGAAGGCTGTCCCTGTCTGTGGCATGACAGAAATATTAACAGGAACACAGAAAATAAGAAAACAGTATCTTGAGAGAATAGTAGGCTCAGTTCTGGAAGATGAGTCAGATACAATCAGAAAAGCTTCACCCAGAAGATGTATATTTTTAAGATGTTAATAATACCTCTTTCTGTTTGTATTACAGTGTGATTTAGAAGGAATCATGCCAAATGTTACCATCAGCTTGAGTCTCCCCACCAATGGATCTCCACTTCAAGATATTCTAGTTCATCCTTGTGTGACTTCTCTTGACTCTGCCTTTCTTACTTCCAGTAGCATAGATGCAATGGATGATTCTGCATTTAGTGGACCTTACAAATTCCCCTTCACTCCACCTTTAGAGTCATTCAGCTTATGCTTCTACACATCCCAGGTAAATGGCTCAAGAGAATTGGAGATTTTGCTAGTCTTTGTGTCTCTGAATTATCTCACATACAATTCATTCATGTATTTAGTTCAAATAAGAACTTGTCACTTGTTACTAACAATTATTAATCAACAAATGTGAAGATTCAGTTATTTGAACTTAGGCCTCGTTTCTAATGTATGTGATAGTAATGAATGGTTTGCAGATATTGGTGTTCCAGAGAGGTAGTATAGGAGTTAAGGCACTTTCCTTGTACACAGCTAATCATAGTTCTATCATCAGCACTACATATGATCCCCTGAGCACTACAAGGGGTCACTTCTAATCAGAGCTAGGGGTACACTCTGAACAACATCAGTTGTGACCCCAAAACAAATCAGTGTCATGGTGATTTTTAATATTCCCCAGTGTGGAATCCATGGTCATGGGTTAGATCATGGCATGATTAAGGCATGACTTGATTCCTGGACATAAAATATTTCTAAATTCAAGACAAGTATAGTTACGAGGTTATTATGTTATGTATTAATAGCTATTTACTGTGTATTGCATAACTGCTGCATCAGATAGCTTTATTCACTTTACATTTATTTTCTCTAGTATTTTTTAAATCCTTAATGTAGATATAATTAGCCCCATTTTTTAACAGATAATTGGAGTCCCAGAAAACTTATTCTTTGCACAAGATCATATAACTTATAAGAAGGCCTGGACTTGAATCCAAATCTTCTAAACTCCAAAAACCAACCTTTTTTCTACTATACTGTTTTTCTCTTGTCCTGATTGTGAATCAGTAGTTTAGAAAAATCTTCTCCATCTAGCTTAGTAAAGGGAATTTATTTTGAGAACATGAGTAACAATCTCATTGGCCATACTGAGATGAGTCAGAAATAAAAATCAGAATCAGATTATTCAGATTTACCCTGTCCATCTCAGTTCTTCTACCTCATTTTCATTTAACTGGCATTCTTTGCACGTGACCTTATAGCTCTAGGGCTTATGTTGTGTAAGTTGAGTCTGTCTCTTCAAATACACCAGACAACTGATTGGCCCATCCTGACCTACTACTGGTTGTTTTCCTTTTGGTCACTTATTCAAGATGAATTGAGTAAGCTACACTTGAGCTGGGGGATTGGGGTGAGGTGGGGGGGGTGTGGGGGGTGGAATACAAGATAGCAAAAATTTGTTACATTATCACTGAGTTAATATGTCTAGCACAAGTCCTGTAGTGCAGATTATAGAGAATCTAGAGGAGAGAAAGTTAATGGACAGATTTGGAAAAGTAATGCACTATAAGTCTACTTAGGCACCTTTCTTCTCCCTAGAAAGAGACAGAAAAATATTTTCCCTTTAAATTCAATCATCTATTGCATGAGTGTGCAATACTGTATATTTACCTAGTATATGACTACACCACCTCTTATCAAAACAACATGGAATAATATACAGATGTTGATTATAATGATGTTCTCCTGAAACCTATATAATGTTACAAGTCAATATTAACTTCAATTAAATTGTAAAATTAGGAGTTTTTACAACTGTAACCCATTAGTCATTAAAAGCATATCTCTCTATCATTGTGTTTTCACATTCACCAATTTAGATATTTTATTCCTATTAACCTTGAGAAGGATATAAAAAATATGTTTGTTTGTTTCTAGGTCCCTGTCCCGCCAATTTTGGGTTTTTATCAAATGAAAGAGGAAGATGTACAACTAAAAATAACAGTTAATTTAAAACTTCATGAAAGTGTGAAAAATAATTTTGAATTCTGTGAAGTTCATATACCTTTTTTCAATAGGTACGAATAATATAAAACCATGATTTCTGCCTTATTTAGTATATTCTTACTGCCCTATATTTTTTATAACTTTTTTTAAGATGTAAGTTTTGTTATTCAAATGACAGCTGATTCTGAAGTAAAATAGAAATGATATATTTACTTTATGTCATTCTGTGGTTAAAATCAGAAAACTAAGCATCAAAATAACTTTATGATTATTTCACTCATAACTATTTCCTTTTTTTCAAGTCACATTTTTACTTTTTTGATTTTGTTTTGAGGCCAAACCTGGCTGTTCTCTGAGTTTATGGCTCTGTACTCAGGGATTCTTCCTGACAGTGCTCAGGGCACTATATGTTGGACCAGGGACAAAAGTTGGTTCAGATTTGTATAAGGTAATTTTCTCTCTGTCTGTCCAGTTAACTACTTAATAACTAAGGTAGTTTGTATTATAAGCTTACTTCCTCATCTTTTTTTTTTCAAAAGTTTGTACAATAGCATAGTTCTTTTCAGATGATATCTCAGTATATGGAAAAGTCATATTGTAAATGTTACATCAATCCATGTATCTTTGAAATAGTTTACATGATATATGAAATATATATATGTATTCTGTATGATAAAAATGCATTTATCGTCAAAAATGTTTCTGGCTGTATATTTATTTATTTATAAATATTTGTTCTATTCTGTAAATTTTACGCCATTTTTATATTAACCGTAACAAAGTTGATTCACATCTCCTAATGCTGTTAAGTCTGTTATCCTTTTCCTTTTTTTCTATCTTTTCTTTATGTAAGAGGTCCAATCACACATGTGGAGTATGACGTTAGTTTTGGCCAGATAGAAGTATTTCGAGAGAAAAGCTTACTGATCTGGAATATTGGTGAGCTAACTTTTTTTTTTTACCTTTTGTGGCAAAATCTATTTAATTTAGAATTTTTGATTAGTATGTGTGTACTTCTAGGACAGAAGTTTCCAAAGTCACTGAAAATTAGTCTTTCTGGAACAGTAACCTTTGGAGCCAAGAATCATGAGAAACAGCCATTTGATCAAGTTTGCATCGGAGGTACAGCATATGTAAAGGTATATCAATGTAGAAATATATCTCGCTACATCAGAAATCCTTTCATTGTTTCTAAATCACATGTATGTTAGTTGATTTTTAATGTTTCTGGCTATTTTGTGAGAGAATTCTGTTCATTTTGTCAGATACTATATTTTTCAGATATTTGTGAGATCCATTTACATATTAGTCACATTTTATTTAATACTTAAAATATTTTAATGTAAAACACCAAAGTATAATCAAAAAATCCAAAAATAACCTATTCTACCCAGCTTTCCATCACACTCAAGAGTTGTATATACTAAGCCAGAATAATAATGGGATTAAGGCACTTGCTTTGCATGCTGGTGACCCAGCACCAAATATGAATCCCTGAGCATCACCGGAGGTCACTGCAGAGCACAAAGCCAGAAGTAGCACCTGAGCTGGGTATGGATCCAGGCACCACCCCATTGGAATAAATTTAAATTTAAAAAATTTTATATAGAAATATGAAATGTAAACTATGCCTTCTCAGAATATTTTAGTGATACATGTCAATATTTGATCAGTGCTGGCTGCTTTTGATATTGTAAGGAAGAATGATCACTTTTGACCAAAGTGATCAAAGAAAACTGTAAAATTGGAGTTTGAGCAAAACTCCTAGGATCAGAGAAGCACGAATATGAAGACGTAAGAGTGACTAACACTTATATATGGTAAACGTAATTAAGAATAAATGGTACACTTAGAATTCAGTGTTAGAAACAATAATACACATAAGACTGGGTAAGTCAATTAAAAATAGTTTTTGTAGAATTTGAATATTACTTAGAGCCAGAGGTATGCCCTAAGCTTAGTCAGGTGTAAATCATATGCCTTTCATGTGTAAGGCCCTTGGTTCAGTTCCCAACACCACTAAAATATGTCACTGTCACTGTCCTCCCGTTGTTCATCAGTTTGTTCGAGCGGGCCCAGTAACGTCTTCATTGTGAGACTCATTGTTACTGTGTTTGGCATATTGAATACACCGTTGGTAGCTTGCCAGGCTCTGCCGTGCAGGCGAGATACTCTTGGTAGCTTGCCGGACTCTCCGAGAGGGGTGGAGGAATCGAACTCGGGTCGGCCATGTTGGCTGCGTGCAAGGCAAACGCCCTACCGCTGTGCTATGGCCGAGTGGTCTAAGGCACCAGACCACTAAACTAAATAAACAAAAATAAAAAGAAACTCTTTTAGCTTGATCTTTATTTAAATATAGAAATAAAATTACTTTCGTAAGCAAGGGGAGTCCTTGCAATGCTTCAGAGGCCCATGCAATGCCTAGAATAGCAATATGTCTTACCACTTGAGCTATCTATCCAAAAAAAAAAGAGTTTTCAATCAAACATGATATTTTTCTGTTTTCTTATCGGCCAGCACATAAATTTTATTTATTTGTGGTTCAGCACAGCAGGTAGGGTGTTTGTCTTGCACACTGCCGACCCGGGTTCAATTTCTCCGCCCCTCTCGGAGAGCCCAGCAAGCTACCAAGTGTATCCTGCCCACATAGCAAAGCCTGGCAAGCTACTCGTGACATATTCAGTATGCCAAAAACAGTAACAAGTTATTGATTGGAGATGTTACTGGTGCCCGCTCAAGCAAATCGATGAACAGCGGGAGGACAGTACTATAGTGCTAATGTTATGAGTATACTTAGAAGCAAGTATTGATACAAAGAAAGTTGGAAAGAAGTGGGCTTTGTATCCTTTGTGTTACTGGTAGTAGCCATGCAGGTAACTGGATAGTTAAAAATCTAAAGCTTTTATTCTTAAAACGAGAACTCAATTTTATGTATATAGAGAGTTTCCTCACTGGGAAGAATTAGTTGAGGCAGTGAAAAGTGAAAATGAGTAAGAGCAGAAAAATTACAGGTTTTTTTTTGGTTTTTGGGTTTTTTTTTTTTTTTTTTGAGTACAGTATATGAGTACAAAAACAATACAAGGCAAGCAATGGTGAGACCTCAGCTATGTTCAGCTTTTTGGAAGATGATTATTGATTCTACTTAGAGGATCAATAGAACCAAGATTTTTTTTTTTTTTTTTTTTTTACTTTTTGGGTCACACCCGCGATGTTCAGAGGTTACTCCTGGCTCTGCACTCAGTAATCTACTCCTAGTGGTGTTCAGGGGACCATTTGGGATGCTGGGGATTGAATTCAGATAGGCCGCATACAAGGCAAACGCCTGCCGTGCTCTGGCCTCAGGAATTTTTTTTTAATGTGAGATTTCTTTCATATTCTTTTCCTTTCAAATATAGGGATTATGACTTTTCTATCACCTAGCCAGTTATAATGTCATTGAAAGCATGTAATACAGATTTGGATTCACTAAATAGACTGAATAATTTTTATATTATCTAGTTATTTGAAAGTCTACCTTGTCATAATTCCCAGCATCTAAAATTATACCAAACAGGCAAGCAAAATCCCTTTCCTATTAGAAATAATTTGAGTTGCAACAAGAAAAATAATCACTGGCATCTGAAAATTATATTCAATGTGTAGAGTCAGTCTAGCAATAAAAAGGAAAAAGAAAATGGGAGAAATCTGGAGAAAATAGAAATGGAAGAAGTACAGAAAAATCAAAAGCAAGCAGAGAAACCAAGGCAAAAGGAGACTGGAGCTCCTAAAGGTTTAATTCGTAATGTTATTTTAGTTCATATGAATAAGGTTGTGACTCAGAGTTACCCTGCACTTGCATTCAGAGAAATTACTAATGGCCGCTCTATTATAACACAATGTAAAATTGGCATTTAATACTGATGTACCACATTATCAGTTAAATCCAGATATGATGGATTATATTTTAGAAAGGTTTTATGGGTGAGAAAATAAGGTGATTTGTTTGTTTTTTGGGCCACACCCTCCTGGCTCTGCACTCAGAGATCACTCCAGGCCAGCTGGGGGATGCCAGGGATCAAACTTGCAAGCTCCCTACCTGCCATACTCTCAATCCAAAGTGAGTAATTTTTAAGCTTACATTGGTAAAAATTTACCTGTTTTCTGAAAAATGAAGTAGAGTATCTCATCCCCTCCAAACACCAGTTTAACTGGTTTCTTTATTAGTGATTGATTTGTAAAACTATTATAACAATAGAAGCTTCAAAAGAGAAATCACAGAAAACCAAACACCACAGGTGAAAGAACACCAACTTTTGTGGTCATGCAGGTGGCACTTAAACAACCTCTACTTGCACACAGTATTTACACACATCCTAGTTGCTTTTTATCTCCAGAACTTCACTTCCCTTGTTGCTTACCAAATACAGATATAGTCAGGCACTGCTTCCCTGAAAGTCTAGAGCTGTCCTTCCTGAATTCGTGCTTCCCTCCCCGATCAGTCCTGCTTTTTATCCAAAGAAAAAACAGGGAAGGGGGCATCAACTGACCTATACTCAAATGAAAGTAAAGTAAAATGAAATAAGGATTCCTTGCATGAATTTAGTCTCATATTGGTGATACCTGGTATTTGTTCAGGTGTCCATTGAGCATTTCATTATAGCATCTTTATAAACAAATAATTTTAATGCAAAAGTTGTCCATATATTACATATATACAATATTCAGATTTAATATTCATGATGTTTGTTTTGTGAATTCTGTAGGTAAATTCCTAAAATTTTATTGAGGGTAAAGGGTGACAATTCTTTTTATCAAATAATTCAATTCAACTTTTATATTTCCTTTTCTAGCTTCATTTTAGGATCTTAGATTACACTCTCACTGGATGTTACGCAGATCAGCATTCAGTTCAAGTTTTTGCATCAGGGAAACCAAAAATAAGTACACGTAAGTTTTATGGACTCACACTAACTTGATGACATTTAAGTGCTAATTTATTACCTAAAGTCAAGCTTAATGTAACACAAAGAGATCAGAATATTCCAGTTTGTGAAAATTCTTACCTAATCTCATCCTCTACTACGAAAAAGATATTATTTATTTCTTCTGTTTATGATTTAGACGAGCAAGAATTGGAAGAGAGGTTAACTTTAGTATAGAGTTATGTTATTTTGTTCTGATTTTAATTATACTTTTATTGTTCTCAGAGGCTTGGTGCTAGACAAACAAGGGTTTTGAATATGACTTTTTGGATAAATGTACTTCTCAACATTTTGGTTTCCTCATCTATAAGCTTTTTTATTGGGTTTAAATAAAATTCTATCACAGTGTGGCCAGAGAAATAGTTCAATCAGCTGAGCATATGTTTTGTACACAAGAGACCCAGGTTCAATACCAGACAACAAATAGTCCTCCAAGCACCATTGGATGTGGCCCAGAAACAAACTATTTAGCATACTATACAGTATGAATGGATTCATGTTAGATAGGATTATTTCTATTTTTTAATTTTCAGCAAATGTTACCACCAAAGAACATTATTTAGCACCTCTCCTTTTTTTTTTTTTTTTTTTTTTAGTGAAATACTATGAGGTACAGTTGTAGACTTACAAACTTTCGTGCTAGGGTTTCAGTTATACAATGATCGAGTACCCATTCCTCCACCAGTGCCCATTCTCCACCACAAATGATCCCAGTAGCCCTCTCACCCTCCCACCCCATCCTCTCTGTGGCAAAGCATTCCCTTTCGCTCTCTCTTTCCTTTAGGTTGTTGTGGTTTACAGTAGAGGTATTGAGTGGCCATCGTTTTCAGTCTATAGTCTACTTTCATCATGTATCTTGTATCCCGAGTGAATCCTCTAAACATCCTTTACTTGGTGTTCCCTTCTCTATCTGAGCTGCCTTTTCCCCCAGCATGTGCTGCCGACTTAAAGCGGTGAAGCAGACCTCCTGATAGTTATCTCAACTATTCTTGGGTATTCATCTCCCATTCTGTTACTTTATATTCCCCAGATGAGTGCAGTCTATCTCTGTCCCTGTCTTTCTGGCTCATTTCACTTAGCATGATTATTTCCATATAGAACCACTTGTATGTAAATTTCATGACTTAATCTTTTCTGACAGCTGCATAGTATTCCATTGTGTACATGTACCAAAATTTCTTTAACCTGTCATCTGTTCTCGGGCACTCGGTTTTTTTCCAAATTTTGGCTATTGTGAATAGTGCAACAATGAACATACAAGTGAAGATGTCATTTCAACTGTACTTTTTTTTGCCTCTCCAGGATATATTCCCAGGAGTGGTATTGCTGGGTCAAATGGGAGCTCAATTTCTAATTTTTTGACAATCGTCCATACAGTTTTCCAAAAGGGCTGAACCAGTCGGCATTCCCACCAGCAGTGAAGGAGGGTCTCTTTCTCACCACATCCACGCCAACACCGGTTGCTTTTGTTCTTTTGGATGTGGCCCAGTCTCTGCACCCTCCCTTTTTTACCAATAGATGGGCAATAGGATGGTTTCCTACTTTCAGTGAGTTTTTCACTTGTGAAAATATATATTTGCTATTTATGAAAATATAGGGATATAACTCATTAAATAATACAGAATTATATAGATTGTTACATATACACAGTTTAGAATAGAAAAGTAGATAGAATGAATTCGAGTTAGCTAAATGTAAACAGAAGCCTTTTATATAGTAAGGGAAATAACGTTACTATATTTAGATAAGTACTTTGTAAGCTGTGATAGTGAATGTAAAGTGGCAAACCTTTAAAATCTTTCAAGGGATAGATCTCTGTAATGTTAAAATATTTGAACGTCTCATTAATATTGCACATACTATCATAATTTTCAGAGAGCATACTACAAGATGGAACATTTTAGTTATATAGTGCTTCTCCGCCATCTTGGTTTTATGACCACACCCAGCTGTGCTCAATATCTTACTCCTGATTCTGTTCTGGGAATCACTCCTGATAGTACTAAGGGGACCGTACATGGTGCTTGGGATCTAACTCAGTCATCTGCATGCTAGGCAAGTCCTTACCTGCTTTTATTATAAATTAGCCTTCTAGACCTTTATTTCTAATGTGACAAAAGTTATGATAATGCCCTAATAAAATAGAACTATGAATTATTTATAATTATTTAAACTATGAATTATAATAAAATAGAACTGTGAATTATTTCCAGGTCAGGAATATAGCTCAGCAGTATGGCATATGGAGGCCCTGGGTTTCTTTTGGTACCACAAAAGGAAAAGAGAAAAGAATATTTTTTTTATTTTATAAAGTAGTTCACAATATTTGATTACATTTATTGTTCAAGCACCAATCCCACCACCATTACACCTTCCTACCACCATATTTTGTATGTTTCCATCCTGAACCCCAACCCCTGCCCCAAAGCAGAACCAAAATAATATATTTTGTATTGTTTGTTATGAAGAACCACTGAAAATGCTACAATAAGCTTCCTTAAAGGAAAGAGCGTGAAGATTGTTGTATTTCACCCAGGGGCCATTAAGCCCTTCTATCACTAACATGTTGTTAACGGTTGAGCCTTGTGTGCTTTATATATATATATATATCTGTTAAAAAAAAATACCCTCTAAGGTTGGTTGCCTCCTACTTTGAACCCCATCAGATGTGGTGCAGTAGTCTTGGAGTATGGGTAGGATGTGTGGTATGAAGTGTCACGCTGCCACATTTGCAGCCGTGCAGTCCAGGAATAGTTTCAGTCATGGGTGAGGCTGGGCCCAAGCATGTGGAAAGCAGCTGTGAGCATGGCGGCGGTTGAATTCTGGAGGTTTTTAGCTGCCAGGCTGGATCCCTTGTGGCAGGGAGGGGGATCTTACCCACCCACATCTGGGGTGCCCCAGGTGAAACAGCCTGGCCTGGGGGTCTGGCGGCATAGTTATGGCGAGGTCATGTTATGCTCCCTTCTAGGAGAAAAGGACATGCAATTCTAGATGGTGACTGATGACGAGATTCGAAAAGAATATATTATTAAAGTGTTGCTTTTGTTGAAGTGATCGTGTTCTATCCACAGTTTTAAAAAATCTTGACTTTGGGGACTAAGGCATATAAGTAGGTCAGTAGTAGAGGCATATTTTACTTACATGTGAGACCCTAGTTTCAATCCCCAGTATTACACACATACCACACACACAAACACACACACACACGCACACACAGAAAAAAAAAACTTATGACTTTGTTTTCCTTCACTGAATCTTTGTTAAAGAAAATGTTGTTTTCTTTCTTTTTAGACCGGAAACTAATTTCCTCTGACTATTACATCTGGAATTCTAAAGCCCCAGCGCCTGTAACATATGGATCATTATTATTGTAATTGTTTTGTGTGTAAGTGGGATTTATACAATAGTAACATAAAGGAAATCAGTCTTTTTTTTAAGAATGTGTGCATATAAAATTTAATTCATACAATGAGTTAAAAGTCAAATGAATGAGTAATTTTTTAAAGTTCTTGTTTAATATGTTAGTGTGATTTAAAACATTTTAAATACTGATGTCTCCAATTTTATTACCTTTTGATTTTATTCAAATTAGATTTAGAGCATGAAATAATAATGACTCATTTAAGGCTTAGTAGGCCTTGATCACTGCTACCTGTCCTTGTTGCAGACAGAACTAATCAGTCACAGCATTTTTTCTCCCCTGGGCCTTCTTACATAGGACTCGTGCTGCCTTTTAGCACAGAGCTGTAGTGAGTGTCTGACATACCACATCAAAAATGAAATTAAATTTATTCGCTCTCCCAACCTAAATACTTAAGCTCCTTGTACACTGTATTTTGTATACCTGACACCACATTAAAAGCAACTTTGTCAGGGCTTTGGAACTGAGTGGTAGAAGGGTTGCTTATCTTATAAGACCCTCGATTCAATCCCTGGCTCATAAAGAAGAAAAGAAGGGAGATTGTAATTATTTCAGTGGTGCTCAGAGGGCTGGAGCACATGTTTTGCATGTAGAAGCCCAGGGTTGGATTCCTGTATAGCATACTGTCCTGAGCACTGCACTGGGAGTAGCATCCTACCAACCTAAAAATCAAAAACCTAAATATAAAACAGTCTGAAAAATGACTGGTGTAGAAAACTTGCTAAATAGAAACCTACTTTTAATCAGAACTATCCTATTGACTAATAAACAGTGCATGATTCTAGTTAAAGTGATTTATCTCTGTTCTAGAGATACTTTTCAAGCTTATCAAATCTGCTGTTTTGCTTAGGTTGTCAGTAAGCATATTAAAATGCTAGACATAGTTTTTTTGGTGACTGAATTGTCTGCTGCCAAATTTTAAGATAAATTTAACATTTTCTTCATATATTTATCAAGAAAATAGACCTATTTATTTCTTGATTGCTGTATAAAAATTCACTAAAGAATAAATTCAGGTTAAAGGCAAAAGCCATTCTATGAGTGGAGAAATGTCATTTAAATCTTATTTCAGTCTCATGTAGCATATTCTAAATTTGTTTTTGTTGCTTTCCTATGAACCTTTTCTTGACTTCATTGGGAAACATCATCGTATTCTTTATTCACTGCTTGCTGTTATTGCATGTCACATTCTGTTTTTGAAGTAGTTCGTTGTCCAGTTGAAGTTAGGTGACTATTTAGGAAAGAGTGAAATCTTGATTGTTAAATCTTGGTCCATGTTGGGTTTTTTTAACAGAACAGAATTAAAAATATTTCTCAATATGCATTACATACTAGTAAAATTGATGAACAACGGGAGGACAGAACTATTACATACTAGTATGCAATTATATCAGTCTGGTTTTTTTGTTTGTTTGTTTTGCTTTTTGGGTCACACCCGGTGATGCACAGGGGTCACTCCTGGCTCTGCACTCAGGAATCACCCCTGACAGTGCTCAGGGGACCATATGGGATGCTGAGAATCAAACCCAGGTTGGTCGTGTGCAAGGCAAACGCCCTACCCGCTGTGCTATTGCTCCAGCCCCTTAATCTGTATTTTTTAAGAAGAGTATGAGAAGAACTTAGAAAAAGCTAACTCTTGAAAGAATCATAGTATCTTGAAGATACATTGTATAGAAATTAAAATCAGAAATAATGATTTTTTTAAAAAACTTTTGGGCCATACCTGGCAGTGCTCATTCAGGAATCACTCCCAGCAGTGCTCAGGGACCATTTCAGGTGCCAGGAATCGAACCTGGGTCAGCTGTGTGCAAGGTAAGCAGCCCATCTGCTGTAATATCTTTCTGGCCCCTGAAATAATGTTTCTTAAATTTAGGTCAACTTAACTCACAGTAAACTCTTATTTTCTGCAAAGCATTATCATGGCACCCAGATTATTCCATGTAGCAGAGAAAATAGAATAACTGCCTTAACAGGACTTTAATTTGTTATTCTAGTTCATTCAGCAGTTTAAACTTTCCTTTCAGAAGCAAAAGAAAAAAAAGAGTTATTTGACCTTTCTTATAAACTCAAGGAAAGTATTAATGGAACCATTTAGCTATCTTGACTGTATGGATGTTCAGCAGAATACACTAAGTAGGCCAGAAGCATTTGTCTAGTGAGTAGGCAGAGATTCAGAATAATCCCCTAGGCAAAACTTCTTTATAAGCAATCAGAAAACTAGTGATTCTTCAATTCGACATTTCTAGAAATCTGAGAAAAACCTAGGGAGTACTGGAGAAGAGTAGGGCCAGCGAAGAACCTGATACCATCTGTTGCCATCTCATCTAATGTAACGCTATAGAGCTAAAACCAACTCTTGTGTTCATCCCATTGAGATCAGCTGGGCACAATGTGATGCTTTTTGATTTTGTCTAGAAACCTGTCACTTCAGGATAATTTCTGAAGACAAAGTCTGTTTTCCGTTTGGTAGGTGACCTGTTTAATGTTTTCCCTGTGTCTGGGAACTCCTTAGTGTAATTAGCGACCTTTGAACTCCACAACTAATCCTGAGCTATTTTGTATTCCTTACTCATCTTTAAGGCTGGACCTTTCTTTTCTTCAGAGTCTGCTGCCACAATTAAAGAAGAAACAGCTGCATTTCAAAGGGATTCCGATTCCAGAAGCTTAATCGTGATTGACATGTTCTTATTCTAAGCTATAAGACACTCTAAGAGTCCTTTCTTGGGTTAAAACTTCAATCATTTTCTAAAAAATTATCTCACTATGGATTTTATTCATTTTCTTTGATAACTATTCTTTGCATTTTTCAACTTGAAAGATGCTTTGCATTTGCAGTGAATATGAGCACCTACTTCCAGTTAAAGATTTGGATAGCATCAGACCTACTCTGGATAGAGAATTGCTATATTCTCTTTTAGTGCCAAAATATGATTATGAAATCTTTGTCTATCTGGTGGATAATTATTCTTTGATAGACCCAAAAGACACAAGCAGTGTTAAATATTTGCAAATATATTCCAGAAAAAATGGTTTGTGATTTTGATAAAACTCTTTATTTCATTTTTCCCTAATTAACATTTTAAACTTTTTTAAGCCAGCAAATACCCATACCATGAAAGGCAGCGCCACTATCTTGGTGGATATTTTTCACTTTTTAAATTATTGATTCAAGCATCAGGTTTGGAATAAATAGTCTAACCAGCAATTCTTAAAAGCATTGTTTTTTAAATTTTTTACTGATTAAATATTAACTTGTCTCAAAACTTATTGTCTTTACAACTCATTCTTTCTGAGATAAAATTATTGTGACTTTGTGTATTCAGTCCTTCCAAAGCACAATTTTGTACATGTTATCTGCTGCTAATGGTTTTCTTGTAGTTTTTATTATAGTTGTACACTGTATAGACATTCATCGACTTTGACACCACCCCTGGAGGTAGGTGTGTCAAGTTATCATCCAGAGTCTCTGAAGAGCCTGCAGCCACAGCAGAACAGTTGTTTCTAAGACAAAGGTCAGAAAAGGGATGTTAATAAAACAGTCCTCAGGTTTAAGGGACTTTTTTAGGATTACATCTTAAATTCCAACAAATCAGATTTAGAGTTACTGAAAGTGAAATTGATCCATCCCTCATCCAAACTTTGCAATACTTTCCTGTTCTGACATCATTTAGATAGTTAGCTGTATTATCAGATTAGAAACCATTGTACCAGGCTGCTGAAAGGAAAAGGAGGCAAAAAGCTAAACATGGGATGAATTCTGAACCTTTTAACCTGGCTGAAGTACGTTAGTCCCTGTTATGCAAATACTTTCAATCCTCTGCTAAGTTCAGTGGAAATAATTTTCTTGAATGACAGGTTTATTCAGCAAGGATTCAGTTGGTGATTAATCCCCCTTTGATCTAGGGTATTTCACTTAACTACCAGTTACCTCGTTCTGACAAAGTGCAACTGAGATCAGGGAGATCACTAGAACACTACCAGGGTGTGCGTTTATTCTCTGTAACCTTTTAAAGCAAGGGCCAAGAATGCAATTTATTTTCAGTATTTGAAGATGTAAAGTCCTGTCTGCTAAGTTAGAAAGTCAATTGAATACCAAATGAAGTTTATTTCTTACGTAATAGAGCAAACATTTCTTTTGGCTTTGCCTAACAGTGATTTGAAGAAAGTCTTTGAAGAAAGAAGAAACAAAGACTACATTCTAAACACATCTTCTAGTTTTGTTTCATGTACTAGAGTATATACTTACTGGCCCCGAGATAACCCCCAAATCAAAAAACATTGACTACAACGTAGGCTGAGAAAATACGTGTACCTTAAAAAACTACTAGTTTCTTCCTGTCTTCCCTCGATAAAGATACTGTGTTAAAGAATAATACAACTAGGGAAAATATATAAAGATACTGTCTTAAAGAATAATACAATTGGGGAGAACATACTGTATGTAATACACATCTTAAAACTTCTGATTTCAAAGCTTTATAACTTGGTTCTTTCAGGAAGGAGTTTATATAGTCCCATGATAAGAGTAATAACATTCATTTTCAGAATGCAGATTTTTTTTCAAAAAGGCAAATGAAATGATACCATTACAGAATTGTTACACAAAGTAATTGCTTTAAATTATCAAAATATCCATATGTAGAATATTATCTTCTATTTCTTTATTCCCTATTCTTATAACTGTATATTTCCTTTTTTTTTTTTTTTTTTTTTTTTTGCTTTTTGGGTTACACCTGGCAATGCTCAGGGGTTACTCCTGGCTCTGCATTCAGGAATTCCTCCCAGCTGTGCTCAGGGAACCATATGGGATGCTGGGAATCGAACCCGGGTTGGCCGCGTGGAAGGCAAACGCCCTTTCTGCTGTGCTGTCACTCCAGCCCCATAACTGCGTACTTTTACTTCTGTAATTTTCAGACTTAGAAATCCTCTATGGAATTGTGCATAATATTTTAGGGGTAAGATTTTAAGGGATGTTCTGTGCTAGGTTTCTTAAATAGTTTACTTTTTTTTTTGTTTGGGGGCCATCGCTGGCTAAGCTCAAAGCTTACTCTTGGCTCTTCACTCGGATCACTCCTGGCAGTTCTCAGGGAATCACATGGAATGCCTGAGATTGAACCTGAATCAGCCACTATACAAGGCAAATGCCTTATCCTCTCTACTATTGCTCTAGTCTCAAGAATTTACTTTTTAGGGACTGGAGCAATAGCCCAGCAGGTAGGGCGTTTGCCTTGCATGTGGCCAACCCGGGTTCGATTCCCAGCATCCCTATGGTCCCCTGAGCACCACCAGAATTCCTGAGTGCAGAGCCAGGAGTAACTCCTGTGCATCGCCGGGCGTGACCCAAAAAGAAAAAAAAATTACTTTTTAAAGTTTCTGTGAATTTTCTGTAAATTCATAGTGCCTAAGTAAAATGATGGAAAAGCATCAGTCACATTATTTTGCATGATACCAAGTGATTTAATCTGCAAATATATTTTACAACTCTTAAAAAGAAATAATACTTTGTAACATTTTTTAAATATTAACAGTATTATTAATGGCTAACACTATTAAAGCACTTTTAATGCTTTCCAGTGATTTTTTTTGAGTTGTAATAGCTTTTAATACAATATTTCAGTTACTTTTATATATATCATTATTTTGTAGTGCTAGGGATAGCCCAAGACCTCACAAATAGCAAGGCACGTGTTCTATTATTGGGCCACATTCCCTGCCTCATACTTTAGCCTAGAAATTTTGTGAACCATTTTTTAAATATAAGTTTATACATATATAAACCCATATGTGTGCAAATATATACATATACACATGCATACATATGTACCTAAATTATGTTGGTGCCAGACCAACTTCTTAAAGTATCATGTCAGAGGAATAATATTTAAAGACAATTCCAGAACCTTCCCTCTAAACGCAATGTTAGTAATAAAGAGATTTATTATAATGAAAATGGTCATAATTCATGAGATTATGCTTACAAAATGATTGGAATTCTTATGAGAAGGTCAGGAGAGA